CATACCGTTCAAATCATTACCTCCTCACTTAGTCCTCCTGAATTTTAGCTCTTTTCCTGAATGTCTACTAAAATGTCCGTTTTTTTGTCGAGCTCCACCTAGTGTTTCTGCTTCGTGTTCTGGATTTCATTAATTTTATAGATGGAATGAATAGATGATTTCTTTTGCTTGCTTTAGGCAATAATTCAGCTATATATAACTGCTCAAGCTTAATTAGTATGTTTTGTCCACTGCAGCATGCCAGGTAGTCATTGTTCGTCAACGTCCAGTGTGCTTCAAAATGCCAACGGTACCGGTGACCGACCGTCGGCTGGTATCACCGATCGTGATCGTTTGAAAATGGCCTCCATCCTGTCTCGCTTCTCGTCTCCAACTCACCAACAACAAACAACCGCAAAGACAACAACCACATCGTTATTGAACAACTTCAGTGTGCGCAGCTCAGAACCGTCGTCAATGGAACGTGTCAAAACTGAGGGTGAACGAAGTACCGTCGAGAAACGTTTCGCCTATAATTTATTGGAGAAATTAATTCAGTATTTGGAACAAGCATCGGTAAAAATGAAGACAGTGAAGCCGAGTCAAGAGTTGAGCCGTCGAAATAGTTTTAAGAAAGAGGGACAAGATGTGAAATTCTTTGAAAAGGTGAGCGATTGTGACCTCCAAGCTTGCAACTGACTTCTATTCAGGCACAATAATTATGTTTGCTTGTTCCATTCTGTTTATTCAAGAACGTGCATTCTATGAAAGTTAACTGTCCAAAGATATCAGGAAAACTATCTGTTTAGGTGAATCTTATTATTGAGAGAAAGTTTCACTATTAATTCGTTTGAAGAGTGAAAGAAGTTGGGAGAAGCCATCCGCCTTCGTGATTCATGTTGTTAGATAAAATTCAGTGAGTTACGAGCAGTTTCGGCGTGAGTCGATTGAGTTTTTGTTTTAATGCAGTTTGTTCTGGTGACTACTGCTCATGGAGTGTCATTAGAAAGTCTTGAAATAGGTCAGAAGAGAGTACGCCATATGATCGAGCAAAATGGGTCGATGCTTAAGGTTATTGAAGTTTTTCAGGTGGTCTTACCGTTGATACATGCATATTTCAATGCGCATCGCAGTTACTTTTTAGCAAGTAGCAGTACTGTGCAAACTGGAACCGCATCGAATAAAGAGAAGGAAATGATTGCTTAGTTAGTTGCTTTAACAACTAGCGATTTCATGTTTTTCTTTTTTTTACAGATCCTTTCGCATTCCTTACCGACCAATTGGTCTATGTGGTATGGATAAAACGTTTTGAAACAACACTTGCAAATGCTATAATTGTTTTCGCTTACAAAAATAAACGACACTATTGGGTGCAAGGGTGATGTTATTGATAATAACTCATTATGAGGGCGATAGGGACGGTCGTGAATATCAGAATTTAGACAGTAGGTGTTCTGTCCAAAGCGTAGCGGAATATGTTCGGCCTATTTAAAACTTGAATTGATTACTTATCACTTGTAATGTTCATTGGGATGATGAAAAATTTATTTTCT